TACAGGGATGTTTGTATAAATTAAAATTGGTGGTCTATCTCGAATGAACTGCAAAAACCTGGTGACCAAATTTGAAAATATCAACTATTCACTAAAATTAGAGAAATACAAACAAGTGTTGTACCTAAATTATGCCCGCAAAAGTGCTTACCACTAAAGAACACTATTCTGTACTTTCAAAAAAAATACATACACACAGGGTGGAAATGTACTTTATGTGAATACGTAATACAATGTAATACATACACACCTACATGTACATACAAAGTCATACAGGGGGTGGTGGTTGGTAAATTAGAGATTGCAAAATTACTATACAAGTAGCTGTTCCTATAATAAACTAATTTATACCAGTCATCAGTCTTTTCCTGGATGTAAATGTATTATTTGCTGCTGAAGTAATACAATATATCAAATCCTACCTGGGGTCCAACACCAAATATGGATTGACCCCTGACTCTATTGTGACATGTAGTCGTGAGTGGCACCTTCACTGACCGAACGGCATCAGACCCTACCAATGCCCAACAGAATAGTGTACGTCTCGCAAAGTTCATGCCTTCTTGCTATGAGTTCCAATGAATATTCATTATGGTGGTCATAGTAACACCGAGCTGAGGGCGAAACTCACATTATATCAACAAATAAACTCTGCTGTGAATGGTTACTCTTTGATGGCCGTCACTATCTGACGCTCCTGCTATTCGATTGATACTGACAAAAAATCGTTGGGGAAAGTGAAAAACTACATCATTCTGTCAGGCGTGTGTTGGGTTTGGAGAATTGCGGAGGGAGCAATTCACGCAACCTTGTCAGGCCACCCCAACTCTGGCTGAGACTAAACAGAGAGGTCAAAGACACTTGTCCAGATTTGCATTTTGAAGACCAGGTCCAGATGGGCAAACAAAGTTTGCGGAAAGGTTTCGCTAGAGCGAAGCACCAAATAAAATGAACATGTCAACAATTAAATCACCATTGTATTCATTGTCATTTTTAAAAATTTAATATTCATCATATTCACATTGACAATCAATGCAAGCACGTCAAGAGACAGTGCGCTTGAGAAAAAATGGACTGAAGATGAGAGTATACTACTTCCTACATTATCATTTTATAATCTAATCTAATTATAATAAGAGTAAAAATGTATAACTTCCTGATTACTGTAATGAGAACATAAAATTAGTGTTAGTCTGTTGTTCGCTCCTGTGTGTGAATGCAACTGGGTTTAGCCGATACATATGTGATTAGCTTTAATTATAGATGTACTGTAAAAGGGTTAATTATTCACTGGGTTTTAATTTTGCTTATTTCGCAGACTGGAGAATGCGCTAAAATAAAACTCAGTGAATACGTAAAATTGAGCATAGAATACATTACCTAAATGATAAAACCGTGAATTTAAAACCCACTGAATATGCCTGAAATGGTAAATCAGCAAAATTTAAACCCAGTGAAAATTAGACACTTTACAGTACTAGAGGTAGCCTGGACACTAATAATTATAACTAATGATAAACAATTATTAAATTAACTACAGTTTGAAGACAAAATATGTGTCATATATTTATCATATTGTGGATTTTGAATGGTAATCAGTGAATAAAGCTCATGTTCCGAGATGAAATTTCATTATTAAATCAGGAAATAATAACTTTTTAAGCTCCCTGGGTATATGTGAAATCCATTGTTCAACTGTCAGAACACTATGCAGAATTTGACAGATCAGTATTTGAACATTGAATCATAACAAAAATAAGCAAATCATTTCATTTTTGCAGCAACTGTTCAGTCTGCATCTTTTACACATACCATGACATGAGATTTAGTAGAAATTCAGAAAATCCATTACTGTGAAATACTTTTCACTTGGAATAGGTGATTTTCCGTACAAATGCGAGATCTCGCGAGATGCATGAAAGACGCGCGTCGAACGTCTGCCGCAAAAATCGAATGATTTGATTTTGAATTAGAATTTCTTTATTTCGTAGCTTACATTGACCGGCCGATCTTCGACAGAGGAATATTGCTTCCGAATACCCTTACTTAATTGAAATTGCCTATCATCAAATGTGGACAGCACATTATTAAGCATGGAAATGTCCCCGAAATACTTTCGCGCTTGTCGAATCCCACGCGATGTTTGACCCGACTACGACGCTATGACCTTTGTTTGTCCTGTTTTTACGTTCGATTTCACGCATAACGCGTGATTCTCGCAGTGAACGGAAAATGGTCTATTAATTTTCGCTATTTTCGCTGAAGGAATGATTCAGTGAAAATAAAATCTAGCAAATATACCTTTTTTCCTATATTTCACATTCAACTGGTCAGAAATCAGTGAAAATAAATTCCATATGAAACACCCAAAAATTCTTTTCAGCAAAAATTTAATCCAGCTAAAATAAAGTATTTTACAGTATTCAGGTTGCAGCTGATCATTGGCCGTTCTATCATTAGCTTGATTATTAAACAAGCAAGTATCTGGAATATTACTTCTTACATGTACTATAAAGTACTTTACACTGTATCTTCACTTGGAATTTATTTGTCACTATTTTTGCTGAAGAAAATACCTTTTTTTTCTATATTTTACATTCAACTCGTTAAAATTAAAATTCATAAAAAACAACTAAAATGTCTTCTCAGCAAAAATTAATTCCAACTAAAATAAAGTATTTTACAGTACTTTGAGAGAGTCACTTTGAATTAAAAATAAATACAGCTGAGGTTCATAATTCAAAAGCTTGTCGCACTCCCTAAACATTTTAAGAGCCAGTCACAGAAAATAATTTACCAAAATTTCATTCAACTCATGTCAAAAATATGTTTGATCATTCATGATTTTATTCAGATTTCAGTTTAATTTACAATTCTATTTATTATACAATTTGTACTTTTGATGAATAAATATGTAATATCATTCTGTACAGATAGTTGTACAGATGAGACTGAGTACCTAACTTGATGAAAAAATTAAATGTCTACATAACTGATAGTTATTCTCAACGTGGCTGCCTATTCCATTATCTCTGAGACTATTTCAGTGAATTGCATCATACACATGCACCATCCGATGTCATTGATAAAATCTATGACTACATAACTCAATAATTATTCTCAATATGGCTGCTTATCCCATCATCTCTGATACTAATTCATTGATTTGTATTGTGCCATCCAATGTCATTGATAAAAATCTCTCAGTTGCTTTAGAAGCAACAGTTCGTAAAGTTGGTAACCTTAGTAACACCTTTGCATATCTCTTGGCATCTTTTGGATAGTGTGTTTTGATGTAGTGTCGAAGTGCATCAACTATTTTGGCTTGAAGAGTTGTTACACTGGTTTTGTCTTGTAGTCCTGCGGCATCTTTACAAATATAAAATAATTGTTTGATTTTCATGGTACAGCACAACAAATAAATTATAATATCAATGAATTATTGAAACAGCATGTTTTTATTGGTTGATTGATACCAGACGAAGAATTTGATATCAATGCATTAACAAAATTGTGTGTGAATCGAAAAGATCCAATGTTTCCAATTTTTACAACAAACACATTGAAATTTCATTTCAGAAATTTAGGTCATTTTCATGTATGAAACAAGTTACCACACATTGTTTGCTCTATTCTTATCTAAATAATTTAAAGCAAAAACTTGCAAGTATACGACTGCGGATATATAATCAAAGTTTTGGGGGCATTATGGTTATAATCAAATGGCGTATAACACCATTAAAGTATGTATTCTGACGCATAGAATAAAGTAGTCCTAAAAACGTCACAGGAAGCTTACAGTAAGTCAATACTATTATCGCGGGGCATGCAATTTGGGGGCGTGATAACTCTCCTATCTCGTAAAATCAATACCTGCGAGAGCTAATTATCACTCTTCAAATTCATACAATTTTGAAGAGATTTTAATAACATAATTCCTCTAATTACTTGCGTTGCTGTGTTCAGGATTGCCCTTTTTTGGCTCACCAACAAATTAAAAAAAATGAGGCATGTTATTTATATTCACTCACCTGGATAAGTAAGTACAATGGCGTTAAGAAAACAGAACTCTACGTGATCAACGTTAACTTCTTGTATCCTTGAAACATAATTTAAAGTAGATTGTATCAGTTCTTGTCCCCAGCCAATCTCCATGGCCTGATCTTTGGTGAGCTTCATGTTAGCGCCAAATCTAACCAAACCATTTTCACTTCTAGATCTGTGAAGCATATGTATATAGTTATCGTATTTGCTCTAATATTTGGTAAAGTGACTAATATGTAAGTGACAGATGTGGCCAGAATAAAAACTTATATAATAATAATTAAGTATACATATAAAACAGGAATTAGCGACAAAGGGGTCCAAGCAAAAGTCTGATACTTTTTTACAAACACTTCTAGTCTGAAAAGCACTTTAATGAGCTTATAATATGAATTGATCAAATAAATCCTGAGAAATTAATTGTGTTCACGCACAGCTCCTTAGCACGGGCTAAGAGGTCAAATTCCTTAGCCCGTGCTAAGAAACGTGCGTGAACGCTTAGCACGGGCTAAGGAATGCTAAGTACGGGTTAAATCTGATCCGAATTTAAGACGCGGTCTAGACCCTTAGCACGGGCTAACGAAGTGTGCGCGAACGCTTAGCCCAGGGCTAAGCGTCCTCTGCGGCAACCTTTGGGTATATACAAAATAAATTTGGTTCGCTGTCTACGACATGCATTAATAAAACAATGTATTCTGTTTCGCCGTTGTATACTGTTTCTGTACATCCAAATAAGTTGGGTCCGTCTCCTCTCGTGTTCCTGTGCACGTCGCTTCAAAATTAGAACGAAACATGTCAGCAGCAGTAATATAGAACCTCGCGCATGTCATCCATTTTTCGTTCGTAAATAGCGGCTTGCCAAAGGTCACCGACTGATTACACCCCTTAGCCCGTGCTAACGACTGGCCCTCCCTGTGCGTGGACGCAATTGGGTCTAGCCGAAATGCAAATATGCTAGATAAGCCTAAATCAGCTCAAATCTTAGCCCGTACTTCGTGTAACATGAACACAACTATTGATTTTATGCCACTTTACTTTAATCCAATTTTGCTGTCAAACATTGAGATCAATCACACCAGACTTTGTCAGAATTTAATGCAAAATATCAACAAGATGAGCAGTTCTGAAAAAAAAAAAATGTTGTAGCCAACTTTTGGAGAATTCAATAATCCGGCAAAAGTGACAAGGCCACCATTATTTTTATTTGTGGAATTGGTAGCCCATTTGTCAGTGCATAGACACGCAGAAACTGATATCAAGATGGCTGCCAAACCAGTTGACCAATCAAAAATCGGAAAGTCAGGTGCACTAGAGGTTATTGAATTGATTTCATCATTGGATAATCAAGTTCAAATTCTACCCTGGGAACGGACAACTTCAACTTGTCATTATATAAAACTGACATGTTAGTATTTTTCAGATGCTTATGTGAATGAAATAGGGGTCAACTCATGCAATAAAACCTTTTTACCACCAGTTCCCTTTTCTCATTACAAACTCACAAAATAGTTCCGTTTATAGTCTCCACTTTCCTTCAGAAGATTGGAACAAAAATAGCCACATTTTAGGGTTCATTTCCAGAAATATTGAAGAAAATAAGTAACAAGACATGAATGTCACAGTCCCCGTTATTTAGTTATAAAATACTCATGTTAAAATAATACATGGAACATCTGTAAATAATTGAATTAATATGTACTCTATGTGGGTACAACTCATCATGAAGGGATTTCCCTTAATCTGATAACTGAAAACTTTCATTGATCCGTGTCCAAAATCTCAGAGTACACAAGTGCAACCAAACTATGTTTCATACATGCTCAAGAAACTGCACTCATAAATCTGAGTAAATCTTGATGTACCTTTAATAACTTGACTTCTTTGTTAATTCAGGTCTTTGTATATTACCAGGACCTGGGTTTGTTTCAGTATCACCACTATAATTCCCATCAAAATGTAGCCCTGACACCCCTCTACAGTTTCCACACAGATTGGTAATGGTACGATGCATCTGTCACTGATTCAGATCAAGGTCATGATCAGGTAATGACATCACTAAAAACCCTAGCATTACAATCTAAGCTAATTATTTATTTTGAGCATGCTGAGTTGTTCTCTCAGTGCAGTAGGGAAAGGTAATTTTGGATGAAAATCATGAAAAAGACCCACTTTAGGATTTTCAGAAAATATTAGAGACGTCACAGACGGGAAATTGAAATAAGAATTAATAGTCCGCCTTTCAGGCTGCGCCTGAAACAGGGACTAAAAAGTGCAGAAGAATTTAGGCGAGAAAGTCTGGTGGTGAACAAGCAGCCGGTCGGCTGAGATAGCTCCGCTGTTAGCAGTGCACATTTCAATTAAAGAACAGAAGATATCATTAGAAAATGAACAATATGTATAGTATCAAAACAATGGGACTTGCTGTTTTCAAAAATATCATTTTTCACCAACAATGACAAAAATAATCATCAAAATTAGATAATTGAAAATATCACCACGAAATTAACAAATCTGAAAGAGGTCCACATGTAGTACCTATATATGTAATATCAAAACAATTGGACTTGCGGTTTTTAACAAGAAGTCAAAAATATCATTTTTTACCAAAAATATTCACCAAATTTAGAGAATTAAAGGTATCATTACAAATTGACCAAATCTGAGAGAGGTTCCCTTGTAGTACCCATATATGTAATATCAAAGCAATTGGACTTGCGGTTTTTAACAAGAAGTTGAAAATATCACTTTTTACCAAAAATGACAAAAATATTCACCAAACTTAGAGAATTAAAGATATCATTACAAAATGAGCAAATCTGAGAGAGATCCACATATAGTACCTATATATGTAATATCAAAGCAATTGGACTTGTAGTTTTTAACAAGAAGTCGAAAATATCACTTTTTACCAAAAATGACAAAAATATTCACCAAAATTAGAGAATTGAAGATATCAACATGAAATGAACAAACCTAAGAGAGGTCTACCCAAGGTACATATACACCAAGTATCGAAGCATTCAGGCTAGTAGTTTTCAAGAAGTCGAAAAAGTAAAACATTGACACGGACGATGACGGACCCCGATGGACAATCACTCATATGATAAGCTCCGCTCGACAAAGTCGACAGCGGAGCTAAAAAGTTAAAGTTAAGCATTTACACTCTATACTCAATGATATGTGTTTGTTTGTTTTATCTTACCTATATGCTAACCTGAGTACATTTAGTTCCATGAATGATGCTTTTAAAAGTGCCATTTGATCTTCTATCAGTAGACCTCGAAATCCCGGCACATGCCGAGCCCACTGTATAATTAACTGCAATTCTTTGTATCCATACTGCATCAAATCATCTATGCCAAAATTACTCATATCCTTGAATGCTATAAAAAAAAAAATTTACATGACTACACATGGCTTACCCTGTATATGTGAGGATGGGCAGATCATAGCATAAAGGGGGGGATACCATTACTGGGAACATACATGTAGCTGGGGCAGATCACAGCATAAGATGGTAAGATGGAATACAAAAGATAGGGAAGATCACAGCTGTACTTCCCGGATCATAAGCCCCTCCCCAAGTATAAGCCCACCCCTCTATATTTGGACATTTACCGTGTTGAGGGCATCCTCGATTATAAGCCCAGGGTGTTTTTACCGGGTCTTGACAACATTCATTAAAACATGTACCTATGTAAAAAGTGTGTTTCATTGCATAAAGTATAAGCCATCCCTTACTTTTCCCTATTTTTACATGTTCAGGCCCCTGGGCTTATGATTGGAAAAGTACGGTAGTTGGAAGATCAAAGCATAGGGTGGAGAAGGTCATAGCATAGGGTGGAGAAGGCCATCTACCAGAATAATACAGATCAATCATATATAAATTTGATAGTAATCACTTAAGGTAGAGATGCAGTTTACCTGACAGGTATTTTAATTAGTAAATTAGGAAACCAAGATGACCTCCCTTGTCCACAAAACTATATATTTTCGGAAAGCTTATTGTATGAATTTAAAAAGTTTGTTATTATTTTTCTTTTATGGACACTGTAGTTTTAAATATGCACAAAAATGTGCTTTTTTGGTCTAAAGTGATTTAAAAAAAATTAGCTCCTAAACCATGCCTCTGTTTCCTGTCAAAATTGGCTTATGGGTACATCTGTTTACTATGAAGAAAACGCCGTCTTGAAAACTGTCTACCAGTTGTCAATTTTGCAGGGCAGCAGCCCAAATTTCACTAATTCAGGTTTATGCATAAATTAACACCAAGGCTAGTTGTCTGTGCGACTGTTCAACCAAAAACAATGCACCGACGGCGTTTTGAAGATAAACGCATTGTCAATCATTTGTGAAAATTTCAAAATAAAAGGTCAAAGCGTCTAGGAGCTATTTTTTTTAAAGTTCTGGGATGTGCACTGAAAAGAAGCAAAGATAATTGCTAATTTGCATAACAATTCACTCAGTAAGAAGTTGCTAATGCTCATAATTAAAATGGCTGTAACAGTTTCAAATTTAAATGTATTATTGTTTTGTTAAAAGTTAAATATAGTGCATAATATGGAGATCCCATCATTTCTTTTTTTCACCATGTTTCTTTTTTATTATTTATGTACAGCCTTGCTAAATCTTTCTAAGCGTTCAAAGGAGAGAATGTTTGCACCTGTTATCTATATTTTAAAATCGTTTTTTGAGTATGTTCCACTATTCACAATTCTACAAAATTTTAACAGTCTATAGCCAAGACGGTTTAGATAATAAAAAGCAAAAAAAAAAATTCACTCCCAAGTGCCCACGAACCTGCATCTCTACCTTAATTAGAATGTAGAAACAAATATTGAAATTATTTATAATTAGGGAAGAATTTGAATGAATTCAATAGCAGGTGTAATGTGGAGTGTGTATTATGTACAGTAACAAGTGTTGTAGTTATCCATGCTGTTAATTCAAGTTGAATGATCTGACCTCTGACCCTTATATTCACATATAATTGATAATTTATTTTTCATAAACTTCAACAAAATTTTCCAATCAACCTGATTAGATTAGTTGAATTGATAAAAATCATGACTGCACATCCCTCCTTATTTTGCTGCACAGTTCAGCTAATTAATGTCAGCAACAGCAAATTCAACATGATAATGAAAATCTAAACACAAACTATATCATTAACCAATGATACCATATTTATTATATTATATAAGCAAATCTCCAATAAAATATATGTAATATCAAAGCAATTGGACTTGCGTTTTTTAACAAGAAGTCGAGAATTGAAGATATCATCACGAAATGAACAAATCTGAGAAAGGTCTAGATGTAGTATCTATATATGTAATATCAAAGCAATTGAACTTTTGGTTTTTAACAAGTCGAAAATATCACTTTTTACCAAAAATTACAAAAATATTCACCAAAATTAGAGAATTGAAGATATCATCACAAAATGAACAAATCTGAGAGAGGTCCACATGTAGTACCTATATATGTGTAATATCAAAGCAATCGGACTTACAGTTTTTAACAAGAAGTCGAAAATATAACTTTTTACCAAACATTTTTTTACCAAAAATTACAAAAATATTCACCAAAATTAGAGAATTGAAGACATCATCACAAAATGAACAAATCTGAGAGAGGTCCACATGTAGTACCTATATATGTAATATCAAAGCAATCGGACTTGCGGTTTTTAACAAGAAGTCGAAAATATCACTTTTTACCAAAAATTTACAAAAATATTCACCAAAATTAGAGAATTGAAGATATCATCACGAAATGAACAAATCTGAGAGAGGTCCACATGTACCATAGTACCTATATATGTAGTATCAAAGCAATTGGACTTGCGGTTTTTAACAAGAAGTCGAAAATATCACTTTTTACCAAAAATGACAAAAATATTCACCAAAATTAGAGAATTGAAGATATCAACATGAAATGAAGAAACCTAAGAGAGGTCTACCCAAGGTACATATACACCAAGTATCAAAGCATTCAGGCTTGTAGTTTTCAAGAAGAAATCGTAAAAGTAAAACATTGACACGGACGACGACGGACAATCACTCATATGATAAGCTCCGCTCGACAAAGTCGACAGCGGAGCTAAAAAGTCATGAATAATTTTAATCATAGACACACCTTTGTGATATAAGTGCATGTGCTAGTAATCTATAAATATACACCGCATCATATGTTAATATGACAGGGCTATATCCAGTATGTCCCGATATAAAAGCAGGTACATGTAGGAGCATTAATAAACGAAATAACAATGTTGCAAATCAATTATTTAAAGAGCTTTATTTTCATCCAATGTAATAGACCAAAACGTATATATATGCTATTAGTGTAAATGTAGACAATTTTTATAAGTCTAGAATCCAAAACAATAGAATTTCCTGTTTTGTAAATTTTCTCTTATTTGCCAGCAGTATTGAATGTTATTGAGGTCACATCCAAACACCTTCCTTTGTTTGCATTGGAACAAGTAGACCTATATAATATGACATGGAAATAGAATCCTGACATTTAAGCCAAATGTCCACACAGCACAAAGAAAAAACATACAAACAGGAAAAAGACATATAAAAGTAAGGTTATCATGGGAATATCTCACATCGAGTATGGCAGTACGGAAACACACCGACCTCCATAAAACTTGATATGAATACCATTGTGTTTTCTTGCATGCTATTTTCTTATGACAACATTGTATTATATATTTAGAATAAAAATGTTACATTGTCAATTTTAGGAGTTATTGTCTTTGGAAGAAATTGGATCACTGCATCCTAACTAGAGAACGCTAGAACATGTTTAAATAGGCATGCATTTACAACATAAGCATAACAAAATATGCATAAATTTGAATATATTTAAATACAAAATTAGAAATGATGTCAACTTACACTGAGCTTCAGGTACTATGTCAGGACGTGCAGCGGTTAGTAACTCGGCCATTGTCTCATACGCTTTACTTTGATCCTCCTGTGAAACGTCACTGTCTTCTTTTAAACGTTTCTCAGGTTGAGGGGAATTTGTATCGGTTAACGATGACGAGGATGCTGTATCATTGTTTGTATCACTCACATTAGGGAATGTTTTTTTTGTACTTTGGTTCACGGGCAGACTTGATGAATGTGATCGTGAGCGCTTTATTTTCTGTTTACCACCCGGTGTTCTGTCTTCTCGTACAGCTGTGAAGCGTTATAAAAGAACAATTATATTATGGGATAGAAGAATAAAGTAACCCATAACACTGTAGGTACAAACAAGTTGTGAATGTGTGATACCAGGTCACAGGTGATAATCTTTTTATCACATACCAACTCGGTATGGCAAAAAAAAGACAAATATATATACAAATCATATACTGTGAAATACTTTATTTTAGTTGGAATTAATTTTTGCTGAAAAGACTTACTGGGTGATGGAATTTATTTTCACTGATTTTTGACAATCAGAATGTAAAATATAGGAAAAAAGGTATATTCGCTGGATTTTATTTTCACTGAATCATTCTTCACCGAAAATAGCGAAAATAAATTACAAGCGAAAATAAAGTATTTTAAAGTAACCCATGACACTGTAGGTACAAACAAGTTGTGAATGTGTGATATTAGGTGATAATCTTTTTATCACATACCAACTAGATGTGCCAAAAAAAAAAAGACAATCTGTAATATACAAATCTTATACTAATTTATGATAATAAGGCTTGAAATTTAATAGCGACAATGGACATGTATTTGCAGTTAAGGCTGTTGACAGTTATAATCGGCAGAAATTTGACCATCTATCAATAAGTTTTCGGAATAAATTTTTAGTTGATATTCTTATAAGCTTACTACCGGTAGTTAGTAATACTGTAAAATCTGTATTAAAAACCGCAGCTTCTATTAAAATGGTACAATGCAACAGAGGGAATGCGGCTTCTATTAGAGCATCTACACATATGAGAAATGATGAATTTTCGGTTCTTAAAAAGAATGAGTACAACTTGTATTAGGGATGTGGCTTCTAATACAGATTTTACGGTAATATTGACTGCCAGTCTGAAATTCTTGTATTGCAGCAATAGTTTTGTCGCATAATTGAATTTCTTTCGTTTCACAACTACAATGTATGAATGATATGCAGCTTGGTCATGTAATAATACATGTACATGTACGTATCAGTTGACTCAGTTCATGTGCACACATGTATAACAAATAATTGATATACTGTATTCATATCTCAAATAAAAAACATGTAAACTGATAAACAGGGGTTTTTCTAGGAAAAAACTACAAGAGGGTACACTGCAATTCAGCTGTGACCTGAAGTGGGGTACTCCCTACCAGGGTGCGAAGTTTTTGATAATTCTAAGTTAAAACAGAGCATTCTATGGCAAAATTACTATCAGACAGGTCACAGTTGAAGACTGTGGCCACATGTGATCCCTGGTCAATCAGAATTTTATGGTTGCCAGCGGATCTGCTTCCTCGGGTAACAGGGCGCATGGCCATGGCATGAGAACGCTGTCCCACTGTTCCCTTGTTTAAAAAAATCCCTGGATAAACCAACAATATAATTTTACTGATTTATATATGAGGAAATTCTGATAGTGGTTATCACGAAATAGGTCAAACAGACGGTATCCCACCAGTTGATCATTGAAGTTGATCGCATTTTCTGGTCTTTACTACGATCTATAATACTTTCTGCAAATATTTGTAACATTTACTAGACAGATTTTATATCTTTTATGAAAGCATAAGAGGTTACAGCCTTTTTTATGGTGTGATCAAGCATGAAACACACTCAGAATTTGTGTCAGTGAAATGTTTAGGTTCTCGTACATTGTACGATTCGGCATAAATTCCCCGAGATTACTGTAAAATATTTATTTTAGCTGGAATTATTTTCACTCCAAAGACTTTTTGGGTGTTTTGTATGGAATTAATTTTCACTGATTTTTGACAAGTAGAATGTAAAATATAAGAAAAATAGTATATTCGCTGGATTTTATTTTCAGTGAATCATTCCTTAAGCGAAAATAGCGAAAATATTTGACAGTATTTGGTTTTGTGTTTTCACTGATCAGGTGGAGAGGCCAAGGGTCAAACAGAGTAAAATACCAAAAATTATTGTAGTGCTCAGTGCCATAGCTCACAGAGATAGGCTTATAGTATCGGTAATATATGGTACTTGTCTACATTATAAGTATATTGATGTGAAAGTTAAAAGAAATATATATAGATATATATATAAAAAAAAAAAAAATTAAGGACAGAAGTTCAAAGGTCAACTTAAAAATTGTAGGTAAAACGTTTCAACATTATATTTGTCAAACCAAAATTTGGCATGTTTCTATAATTGCTTTGTTCATTTTGAACCAAACGGACATAATTTAACATTTTTGAAAGTTTTTTTTTACAGGATATAACCAGTCCGTTAAAGCGGGGGTGTCGTCACCTGCACATGCGTCAGATGGCATAGCGTGTCATTGTTTACAAACAAGCGTCTACCCATGATCCTTTGCGTTATTAGCGTGTGTTGTTATCGGCGCTTAGGACTCAATTCCCACACGTGCGCAGGTGGCGACCCTCACGCTTTAAGTAACCAGTTGTCACGTATTATGTGATTATTGAGCCTGACATGGGCGACTTGGGGTTAAGATATTAGTAGAACAAGGCAGACAGAACAAACCTTAACGATTATAAATGTCAAGTTGTATTTATAAATGTCTAAGATTTATAATCTTTCAGACTACTCATAGTTACCACTGGCATTAAAAGTACGAAGTGTCTACGATGAATTTTTAATGGTTATCAGGAATATTAATATTAAACATATTCAAAGTAATGTCAAAATGTCATCCAAAAATTGATAATAATTTTTTTTAATTACTACTAATAATTTTAATTATTGAAATCAAGATATCATGCTTTTCATTGTCAAGATGATGTACATTGTATATTCATTACATATTTTTTATGATTTATTAAATATTTCAAAAAATATAGGACTTAATGTGTTATAGGACTTGCTGTAATAAGCAATAATTTACAATTTTTGACCATAATTGTGTTTGTATTGTATATAAAATTCAACTGCATGTGTATTTGCATTTTTTTAGAGAAAAAAAACGGTAAGAAATTTGCATTGGAGTGTGTAGATGTATTTGTGGGGGTGTTGTGGGTGGGGTTGGATGGGGTGTTAGGCATCTGGATAGAAGTTGCCATTCTATAAGGCTTTAGGACAAGAAAATAAAATAAAATATGAAACTCTTTGTGAATGTAACAATGAAATTTTGATTGGAACAGATGACATTTTAACAGCGAATTATACTCAACTTCTTGGCAGTGGTGTCGATCCAGAAAACTACACTTGTAATTTTGCATTTTTTCAGAAAAAAATTCCTGGACACACATTTCTTGTGGCAGTCAAGTGAAAATGAGAATCAAAGAGTTTTATTTCCTAGCTTTAGTTTATAGCATGAGATATAATTTTTCAATTTCTCTTTTAATAGCCCCTATGCATGACCTCTAAGGGTCATACATCCTGGTACTTTGTGGTGTAAAATGAATGAGAATTTCAGAATTATATTCCTCCAAATTTCAAGCAGCTGTTATTAAAGTTCAAAACAAGTAGCCTCTCGTCTGAAACAGCTTCGCTGTGAGCATTTGCACATTTTAATTAAAGAATTGTAAATCTCATTACAAAATGAACAAATCTGAGATTGGTTCACATGAGGTTCCTATATATGTAATATCAAAGCCATCAAAAATGTCACGTTTTTACCAAAAATGACATAAATATTCATCAAAATTAGAGAATTGAAGATATCATCACGAAATAAACAAATCTGAGAGAGGTCTACTTGAGGTATCTATATGTATTATATCAAAGCAATCAGATTTGCAGTTTTCAACAAGTCAAAAATGTCACGTTTTCACCAAAAATGATAAAAATATTCATCAAAATTAGAGAATTGAAGATATCATCACAAAATGAACAATGAAATAAAAAATGAAATAGCACAACTAGTTGCGTCACAGTTGCACAAAATATTGGGTTAGAGAGCACACTACCTATCGATATGCTCTAAATATTCACATACTAAACTGGGGAACTCGGGTGTAGCACCTGATACTCTCGGCTGGCGCCCTCTTACCGTATTGTCGATTGACTTTAAAGTCATAATGATATTTCTTGAGCCACGCACTTCCGTACAACATAAAATCTTTCTCAAATATTATTTTTCTCTGTGAAAACTTCCCAGCAACACCAGCTGACAATGTGTCTGGACACCAAATACACTGAAATTACTCCAAAAATATTTCAATGGCGATAGATACAATGTACACCATTAAAACGGCACCGAAACCTTCCGACATGGCGTTTCCAGGTCGATCTGCCATGATTTTCTGTGATGACTTGGTCGCTCTGCTCCCTCGTCTGTGCGTTTTTTCTAGAAAAACTCCTGCATACTGTCAAATACTTTATTTTAGCTGGAATTAATTTTTGCTGAAAAGACTTACCGGGGGTATTAAATTTATTTTCAATGATTTCTGACAAGTTGAATGTAAAATACAGAAAAAGGATATATTCGCTGGATTTTATTTTCACTGAATCATTTCTTCAGCAAAAATTAATTCCATGAGAAAATAAAGTATTTTACAGTATTGATCACTACACTGATCATACTGAGCACAACGAGAGCAGCACACAGCATGATGACGTTAATGTTTCTATTTATGAATAGATCATTACAAAAACAACTGTTGATATCTATTGTACATGAATGATTCAACAGAAAATACAAGAATGGACAAGCTGCGATTCAAAATTAACAATCACAAAAGATCTTTTGCATGTGACGTCAACTAAACATTGATTGACCACACAAGGTTCTAAACGATACGAAATCTGCAGCTGCATGGTTATTAACAAACAGCAGTAAAAATTAAGACAAAAATATTCAAAATACAAAACACAAGGAATCCTTAGCCTAGGTCATAAAAGGTATTAACGGAAGTACCTTCCATGGCTAGGTGAAGTGATGTACATCACTGTAAACAGCTGGAATTTCCATTTATTTTTTATTAAATATGCAATATGGATGAAAACTTGTAATTTTAAATATTGAAGTTTGATTTTTTATAAATATATCAATACAAGAATTATGATTATAATCATGTATTGTTGTTTTTGCAGCACACAACTAATCATTGAGTTCATCAAGCTATCCATTCCTGTTTCAATAATGTCGAGTAATATTAATTAAATATTTCTTTAATGAAACAATAACAAAATATGCAAATGCACTGATTGTTTTTTATTTTTCATAGAACAAATAGTGTTGTGCTCACAAGCAAAAGCTATATTTTTAGTTTACGATAAATCGTTACCAAATTTCAATAAAACAAACAATAAAACAAATATGTTTATTATGTCCATATTGCATTTTCAATTAACATTTTATCAACAGAAGGATACATTCATACATAGTTACCTTCTTAGGTTATGTGAAATGTATTAGAAAAGCAATTGAACTAAAACAATGAAACAACAGCAAAAAAAAAACATTTACATTTCAAAATTGTTAATTTATTCTTTTTTTTTGAAATTGAAACCCGGATTTTTTAAACCAGAAAATAAAATACTCAGTGAAATATCCTTTTTATTCAGAAGATCTAATTAAAAATATTATTCAATATTCACGAGAAAAGTTACCACAGAGAAAATTAAATATTCAATTTAAAGCATATTAATCTTACAGAACCTAATCGATTGCAGCATGTTGTGGCTCATCGTGTTACTGCCAAAACAAGCGATAACAGTCTCAGCGCGTCGATCGATGTTTGAGTGGCTTTACACACTGATTTCACGAAGAGCAAGAAAAATACTTACCGTCTATTTTCATGCCCATGTTGACACATTTCTGAAAGCGGCATGACTGGCAACTGTTCCTACTGTACTTTGTAATCTCGCAGTTCCTGCTTTCTTTACAGCTGTATTTCAGTTGTTTTTGAACGGTTCGTTTGAAAAAACCCTTACAACCCTCGCACGAAAATACCGAATAATGGTATCCAGACCCCTTGTCGGAACATACTAAACACAGTAATTCAGTCGTTGTTGTTACTGATGGTGAAAGAGAGTCTTCATTCTGTGCATGTGTTGTTGATTGACTGGAGAACGCAGGGGAATTAGAGAGAACTGATTGCTCTTGCTCCGACCTAGAAGCCGCCATTTTCGTTCTTGTTTACAACAGCAGGAGATTGGCAATACCATTTTATTCACGGGTAGGAAAGGTTTAAGAGTGAGGGTCAGTTTTGTTCATATATAATTTAGTAAATGTGACATATATTTGAATTTTTGGTTGAACTATAACAATAATAATTTATTCATTTATAGTGCGCTTTTTACAAGCCTGATCAAGAGCGCATATTTATAAATGCAGGCAATAATACTATACAATTATATTAACAACAGAACAATAAAATATAATACAGTTTTATAAATTAAAAGCCTTCTTGAACAGATTGTGTTTAAAAGTGTTAGAATTATTTGTGTTTGATAGCAAATGCTAAGTCGGTTCGTAAACGTGGACCACCGACAGATAACGCCACCACAAGCTATTAAATTATATTTGGTATAACGAACAACGACCGATTAAAGAAACGTAACCCAGATTTCAGTGTCACGTATTGTTTGTTTTAGCCCTGAGTACAGTCCTGTAGGTTGGCCTCCTTCCGTTGATCATTCGGCCCCCACAGTCCTGAGAAGTCGCATAGACCGGGGATTCGACACCCGCCTACAAATTTATGGCGGAGAACCGTTCTGCAGTTTTCATGATTGTAACCAGCTAAAACATCTATCGACTAATCTAGCGATTACAAATACCTTTTTTGTGGCCGAAAAATGAACCTACAGCACTGGAACGTT